GATGGTCACCAAGACCAAGTTCCACCAGAACTCTCCCTTTGTGTTTATATATTTGAATGAGTCACACCCATCACTCGTGTTTCATCCTTAAGGCTCAAAGCCTTTGATAAAATCACATCTCTATGTGTATTACTACTTTAAGTAGTTCATATTCAAGCACAATAATGTAAAAAAACACAAGGTATTCAAAACCAGCTATTTCAAATTTGTTAGTACTTATTACTTAAGGTCCATACACTCCATACATATTCATAAAACAATTAGCCAAAATATAGCCAAAGCATATTAAATAAAGTTATTGAATCATCCCTATATGACATTTTCCTATAATGTGGGATAGATTTCATACCTCAAAACCATGTAGTGTAGTACATGGGCTTTTTTGATTCATCGCTTTTACTTATTTGACAAGCTTTTGTGATATTGGAAGTGCATGCAATTGTTGGAGAATATATTGGTCATTGGTTTCACATGTCATGAAGTGTCCATCTCTTCGGCACTTAGATTCTCCTATCTTACACCGTGAAGAAAATATCTTCTTCATCCAATTATTTCAAATATCACAATTTCGATTCTCCTACTAATCATTAACGTTTATGCGTTTCCACCAAGTCTCTCTATATATCCCTTCTTTTCGAAGAAACCAATATGCTTTTATAGGTATTGTATTTCTTCTTCTTTCTACTATTTTCAGATCGAATACTATTCACATAGAGTCTCTTATCTTGCTAACTCTGCATTACATCTCTCTGTAGTTGTACTATAATAAACCATACTCATGACACACTATAAAGCCTTTTAAAATGAATCTTAAAGGTCTCCATAATTGAGAATTCAATGATGTACCATAATATGCCACATCTTTTAATTTACTGCAGCATAGAACATGAGCATCCCATGATAAAAATGTGATATTTGTCAACTCATAAACAATTTATTTTTGAATCCTTTTGAGAAATGAAATAGACTAAAAAATATAAAATAATACTCAATTTTATTCTTAAATCATACCATATAGTGAGTTTTCGTTTCAGTGACATTTAGGTCACAATGCAATTTTCTCAGCAAAAAATAAGATTGAGCTTCTCTCAATAAAAAATTTATTTTTCTCAATCCTCAAAGAATTTATTCTTGAAATCTTTTGTGTTGAAAACTAGACTCAAAACCAAATTATAATATCATAGTTTGAATCCCAAATAATACTTTTATTCAGAAAAATATATAAGTGACATTCACATCACAAGATACATCATACTGCAAAATTCCAGGATAAATACTATCTAGTAAAATTGTCTTTTCTCTCTACCATCATGGAGTTTCCCTTTCAAACCAATTTTGTTCGAAATTTGACACATAATGATAACACATATATTTCCACAAGCCTCATATGACTTTGTTAAGTAGGTTTGATAAATATAACTATTCATGTCTCAATGAAGAACATACCAAATTGCAGAAAACTCAGGATGACCTATTTTCAATCTAAAATTTTTATTCCTTTCTTCCTATAGATATTTATGTTCAAATAAATTTTATTAGAAATAGACTCAGAATGGAAGTCTAAAAATTTAGTGTGGACCATAAAACATTTTGTTAAATATAGAAATAAATTCATGACTTCCAAGTCATGGAAATAGTTTTCGTTGTAGAAAATAGCACTTGCGCACCATTCAACAAATTGATAATATATTTCAAACCACAAGGAATTTATTGGTGAAACTTTTTTTGCTTAGACTCAATTTTGTGAGTTACAGTAAAATTTCAGCAAGAAATAAAATCATATAATTTGTGGGAAAAATCACGGAACTCAATGGACAGTCTCTGGATTTTGCAAGGTCAGAACTGACACCTTTCATTGATGATTCCATAACTCTCAATTCCGTTATGATCTCCCACTAAAATTTTACAAGTAAATCATACTATTAAATACACAAAATATCACTGAAGTCTGTAATAGAAAAATACCTCATTATATTCTTCATACCACTACTCCAAAATAGCCCAGAATACTCATTATGCAGGGTGCCTTTTCGGTGTTGGAATATTCAAAAGTTCTTAATCGTGGGTGTATTTCTTGACCACAAAGTCATTAGCTTTCTTGTATCTCATTTCTAAGATTGATCTAAACTCAATAAAAAGAAAAGATAATTAATGACATCAAGTATTAATAGTTTTGATACCAATGAAAGAAATACCTATATGATCTTTTACCGGGAAATACATTTTTTATTTCTTTACTCATTTCTTTTGACCAAAGATCACTTACATGTGGTCTTTATTATAATAAGATAAATTTCAAAATAAAATCAGCATAACAATAAAACCCATATCTTAATAGCTATGCACTATGATTGAGAAAAAAAGATAAGATTGCAAGAAACAAAAGAAAGTGTGTCAGAGATTATCTCAACCGGGCTTATTACACCTCATATCGAATTACCACCATCCGATGGCGCGGGATCAACGGTTTAGCTTCAATCTCGAACCTAGAAAGCAAATTTCGGCCAAGCCACACCAATGGAACATGAACCCCTTTGATCACAAACTCAAACCCTAGGTGAATTCTCTTAGCAACCTAGTTTGAGAGAGATGAATTCTTTTTTTGCTATACCCTAAAACCCTTAGCTATAAATCCATATTTGAAAGATAAGAGAGAATAACTCTACAACCTAAACCCTTAGGTACTTTCACAATGTGGGAGAGAGAGATCAAACATGAGAGAGATAAGATTTTTTAAGAGAGAGATAAAAAGATAAGGTGTAGAAATTCTTTGGTAGAGACAATCCATTTTTATAGGTTTTGAATAAAATTAGGGCCTATTAGGGTTTTCTTTGGCTTGCCCCTTCTTGTGAAATTGAACATAGACTGTCGATCAAGGGTGACTTGTGGGGTGAGAGATCTGAGCCATCCATTCCATAGATGGGCCATCAACATTATGGAAGGTGCATGAACCATTATCCCTCTTTCTTAAACCATTTTCCTATCAATAGAAAGTAAATAAATTAAATATAATCAAAATATTGTTCATACCATAAAATAGCACAAATCTACTCAATCTTTCCATAAAATCTTTCAAAGATATATCAAGTTAATATTTAGTCAATATATTCCAATCATATGGCCACATGCCATAACACAAAAAAAAATAGGAAAGAGAATAAGGGTGGGGTGTGCCACCCAAAAGAGGCACTCATGGCCCCACCTTTTAAACAAATATGGCTGGCTCATTGGGCCCATGTGCACAATGGGCCCCGTGATATTTTTATATATTTAAAATTAATAAAAAGATTTTAGAATAATATTTGAATATTTAAACAATTGTAAAATCAATATATTTAATTTTATAAATCCAAAAATTATAAATAAAATATGAAAGTGTTCATAAATATTCAAATAATAATCTTAAAATAATTTTCAGCATGAAAAAATATAATTAAATTAATTTAATGGGAAAATGATCTATATGGTTTAGGAATCAACAATCATGGGACACTCCACCTTCAACTGTGGACTACAGATTACACTTATTTTATTAGACCGACCCAGTGTTTTTCATGACCTACAGTTAAAGCATAGGCTCATTAGCAAGTCACAAAAGTCCGGCCGATGAGCCAATGGATCGCAATCCCAGTCTGTGGATTTCAGGTCGTCCTCTAGAGACAAGTCAAGGTCGCCAAGACCTTATGCAAGCATAGCTCTATGACGCATAGGGGTATCTCTCGTATATGCATATGCTTCATCCTAAAAGGTGGATTTCTGGCTTTTTCGGACGATTTATCGATATGCATGCCGTGTGATGGTACATAGAGGAGGTTTTGGCCCTAGGCCACCCTCACACACAAAGATCACACAATCCCTTGGCTCATTCATCTGGGCATATTTTTCGACCTCATCAAGGGCTAACCCATTAGAACCCTTCTTAGTTCTTTATGCCCAGGTAACATGAGTTGGCCTAGATCGTCAAGCACAGTCTGGTATCTACAAACATCATTTGCTTAGTATAGTCTACAAGGGACCACACTCCCACTGAGTTCATGTTCCACTATATCATTTTATTTTACAAGCACTCATAACGCCTTTAAAGGTTACATAAACCCAAAATTTATTATGAAATTATGCTGCTGTTTGAGCACTAGCAGAATGTAGCACAAAATGACTGTTTTCTGTAAATTTTTTAGTGAATGCATTATATTCATTTTTTTTCTTTTTTAATTTTCCATTATTTATTTGCTCTGTAAGTGGGCATGTACGATTTTTTGTTTTAACGGGCATGTTGCCATTATTTTCCAATTGCTAGACACTGAGCCGAGGTTCAAAAATTGGATACAACGTCACAAAATTAAGGAAAATTTACAAACATATCTCCAAAATTTTGTTATTTTAGAAATCCCGCTTTCAAATTTAAATTTATACTTTTACATTCATAACCAATTTTAATTCAAATTTTTACTTTTAACCAAATTACCCCTTAATTAGATCCTTCAAGGTCTGAATCTTAATGAAACTTTGGATCTTGAAAGTTCAAAATTGTTCAAAAAACATATTGGGGGGCTCGCAATGAAAAAAATTTAACTAAGTACAAACATAAGATCTTGAAGGTCCAAATATTACTTTTGTGATGTTGGACCATCCCTATTTTTTTATTTAAATAGGGTTCAATCTTTTCAATATCAAACTGGTCTCTATATACAAAATTTCTTCATATGGGGTGGCTCGATATTTCTAAATCGAACCATCAAAAAATTGGGCGATCTGATATCGCGGGCATCAGACTTGTAGAAATAACAAAAACTAAAAAGGAAGAAGTGGTTCTATGTATGCAACATCAAAAAAATTTAAAACCAAAAAATAAATAAAATGAATGCACAAATAAAATCGAAAAATTTTGAGACCATGCAATAATAAATAATCTTCTTTTCACAAGGCTGCGGGCCTACCGCAACAGGGCGCTGCAACGCAGGACCAAATCTCCCCTCACGCGAATTCACGAAAGAAGAGAGAACTCGGCGCCATTTTTACGCGCGCTAAAATAAACTGTGGCTTAGAGCTCTGAGATTGGAGTTGCAGAGCTTTCTCGAACCCTAGAAATGTCAGGCAACAGAATCCCTGAGATCAGGCAAGACTCCGTGTTCAAGAAATGGGTGATCATCTCACCTGCAAGGGCCAAAAGACCCTCCGATTTCAAATCCAAGAAAAACTCTGGCTCTCAAAATCCTAGTTCCAACTCTTCAATGGATTCTTGCCCTTTTTGTATCAATCACGAGCACGAATGTCCGCCTGAGATCTTCAGAGTACCTCACGGGACCTCGCAATGGAGGATTAGAGTCATTCAAAACCTCTACCCGGCACTTCAACAACCTCAAAACCCTAACCCTAGTTCTCAGGATTTGGATCCTCTGGTTGAGAAAAATCATGGGAGCCCTAACTATATCCCTCAATATCATAGCTCTGGTTCTCATAGTCTTGGTATTCCTGAGAACCCCATCCCTGAGGTTCACCTATCCCGTGACTTGATTCGCAGTATACCTGGATTAGGGTTCCATGATGTTGTTATTGAGAGCCCTGAACACTCTGTTGCTTTATGGGATCTTCCACCTCATGCGATAGGAGATGTGTTGCTTGCTTATAGAGAGAGGATGAAGCAGCTGCTTTGCAATGAATTTATCAGATATATCCAGGTAAGGTAATGGAAATGTATTTGTAGAGAGAGAGAGAGAGAGAGAGAGAGAGAGAGAGAGAGAGAGAGAGAGAGAGAGAGAGAGAGTAGAGTAGTAGTACGTAGTACGTACGTACGTTACGTACGTTACGTTACGTTTACGTTTACGTTTACGTTTACGTTTACGTTTTACGTTTACGTTTACGTTAGTTA